GTAATTTTCTTAGGGATAACCCGATCATTACAAACAAAGTGATAAACACTACATCCCCACGGTGATTTATGAATACTCTTTTGCTGAGGTAAATATTCGATCATTTCGTTGGATCAATCTTCCCTCACAAAACTCTCTCATGGTCAAACCTTTAAACAGTTAGGACCAAAGCCAAAATCCCCTCTCGATTCCTTCCATGAATGAGAGGTCCACAAATCGAATGATCAAACCTTTAAATAGTCAAGATCGCCTAAAAACTCCCATGTGGTCAAACCTTAACCAAAATCTCATTTCGATTCATTTTGCGAACGAAAGGTCCACTTTTGAATTGAGTAATCAAACCTTATGACAGTTAAGATTATTCAAACCAATCCAGATTCTCTAAGTGGAGATCTCACTTCGAGTTTCCTTTGCACCAGGAGATATAATATAAAATTCTTCCTCTCCGATTTTGGGGTTTATCTCTACCAACAAACAAGAGACTAGGAGATAGAATATAAAATTCTTCCTCTCCGATTTTGGGTTCATCTCTACCAACAAACAAGAGACCAGGAGATAGAATATAAAATTCTTCCTCTCCATCATTGGGTTCATCTCTACCAACAAACAAGAGACCAGGAGATAGAATATAAAATTCTTCCTCTCCATCATCGGGTTCATCTCTACCAACAAACAAGAGACCAGGAGATAGAATATAAAATTCTTCCTCTCCATCATCGGGTTCATCTCTACCAACAAACAAGAGACCAGGAGATAGAATATAAAATTCTTCCTCTCCGATTTCGGGTTCATCTCTACCAACAAACAAGAGACCAGGAGACAGAATATAAAATTCTTCCTCTCCATTATCGGGTTCATCTCTACCAACAAACAAGAGACCAGGAGACAGAATATAAAATTCTTCCTCTCCATTATCGGGTTCATCTCTACCAACAAACAAGAGACCAGGAGATAGAATATAAAATTCTTCCTCTCCGATTTTGGGTTTATCTCTACCAACAAAAAAGAGACCAGGAGATAGAATATAAAATTCTTCCTCTCCATCATCGGGTTCATCTCTACCAACAAACAAGAGACCAGGAGATAGAATATAAAATTCTTCCTCTCCGATTCCGGGTTCATCTCTACCAACAAACAAGAGACCAGGAGATAGAATATAAAATTCTTCCTCTCCGATTTCGGGTTCATCTCTACCAACAAACAAGAGACCAGAATACTCCAATAGGTATACGAGTCTAAACTATTTCCCTAATCTCAACAGGAAGTTTCTGGAGAATATTACTCAAAATATTCTTAAGAATAACCTGGTTACCTCCCAACGGGTATATGAGGTTAAACTATTTCCCGAACACTCCAATATAGTATATGACTGTCTCGACAGCCGAGACAGCAAATGCTGTCTCGCGAGCTTATTTTCCGCCAACTGTTCCTAGGGGCTATAAATACCCCCCCGAAGGCCATTTTTGAGGGGGCTGATCATTTTGAGCACTTCAGAGCAATCCAGAGCAGAGAGAGAGCAGAGTTCTTGAGCTTCTGGCAATTCCTTGAGATTCGAGCTTTGACTTGATCTTAAGAAGAACGACTATCTTACTTTGATAAGATATCGTTTCAAATTCTCACTTCGATAAACGAAGGAAGAATCATCAAACCCCTCACGATTCAATCAGAATCTGTGATTTGGTGGTCCACGAGTCAAAGCGCTCCCGGCACAGGCAAAGATCCCACACAAGCAGCGATCCAAACAACGATCCTGCGTTTGTTTCTCAAGAGTTGTAATTTTTCCTTTTGTTGTGTAAAAGGAGTCTTATAAAAAGGCTATCTCTTTTTTTAAATTTATTGTAATCGACTGAAGATATAATGAATTCCATGACAAAGTCAACTTTTGACGCAAACACGCCTCAGCAATTGGAAGTCTGATGTATGTCATGATTTGTACAAGGCAAGATATTGCTCAAGCAGTGGGAGTTGTTAGCAGATACATGAATAATTCAGGCAAGATACACTGGGAAGCAGTTAAATGGATCCTCAGATATCTATGGGGCACCACAATAGGAAATGTTGATATCAGAAGGAGCACTACAGGGTATGTCTATACTCTAGGAGGTACTGCAGTAAGTTGGGTTTCTCAACTGCAGAAGATAATTGCTCTCTCCACAACTGAAGCAGAATATGTCGCTGTTACAGAAGCCAACAAGGAAATGGTTTGACTTCAAAGTTTCTTGGATGAATTAGACAAGTAACAAGGAGATAATGTCTTATATTGCGACAGTCAAAGTGATATTCATCTAGCGAAGAATCTGTCTTTTCATTCCAGAACGAAGCACATATAGGTGCGGTATTATTTTATCCGGTCACTTTTGGAAGATGGAATTTTGAAACTTGAAAAGATCGATGGAGCTTAACATCCGACAGACATGCTGACAAAGACGATGACTACTGACAAACTGAAGTTGTGTTCAACTTTAGTTGGCTTGCAATAGTATCAAGACCGGAGAAGAGCTGCTGCATATATCAAGATATGAAGACAGATTAAAATCAGCCTTCAAGTGGGAGATTGTTGAAAAGGACAGGCTAAGTGGCAGCCGGAAATTTTGAAAGCAAATAAAGTGGGCGGACCCACCTCAATTAATTTCACCGAAAGAAGAAAGCATGGCCGATTTTTTTGATTAAGGAAAGATTTCGGTGGCCGAAAGTTTTGAAAAGAAAAAAAGGTGGTGGCGGGCCCCACTACGAGCCCACCACTAATAATAATTTATTAGTGCATAGTATTTTCCCAAACACAATAAATAGGCCCATAACTCTTCAGAAATAATCATCCCAGAAACAATTTCTCTTAGGGGGTGTTTGTTTGCATGCAAGTGAAAGATGAAAGTGAAAAAGTTACTTTCATTTAACAATTAAGGTGCATGCAAGTGAAAGATGAAAGTGAAAAAGTTACTTTCATTTAACAATTAAGGTGTTTGTTTTCATGTAAGTGGTTATGAAAGTGAGATGTAAGAAAGTTACTTTCATTTAACAATTAAGGTGTTTGTTTTCATGTAAGTGGTTATGAAAGTGAGATGTAAGAAACTTGCCACATATATGGGGTGTTTGGCATTCTGAAAGTGAATTTAAAATATGTAAGTTACTTTTTTTTGCAAATGACTTTTACATCCATGTCAGCACGCAAGTGAAATACAATGTTTGTTTGAAAAATTAAATTATTATCGAAAGTGCAATGTGAAGATGATGTGGCAAAATAAGATTAATTAGAAAATATAATTAAAATTATTTAATTAAATTAGTTACCTTTTTGTCACTTTCATGTGACTTCACCACTTTTTTAGGGGAAGTCAAAATTGCATTAAATCTTATGTGGTAACTTTCTTACATCTCACTTTCATAACCACTTACATGAAAACAAACACCTTAATTGTTAAATGAAAGTAACTTCCTCACTTTCATCTTTCACTTGCATGCAAACAAACACCCCCATAATTCAATGCAATTTTGACTTTCCCTAAAAAAATGGTGAAGTCACATTAAAGTGACAAAAAGATAACTAATTTAATTAAATGATTTTAATTATACTTTCTAATTAATCTTATTTTGCCACGTCATCTTCACATTGCACTTTCGATAATAATCTAATTTTTCAAACAAACAATGTATTTCACTTACGTGCCGACATGGATGTAAAAGTCATTTGAAAAAAAAAGTAACTTACATATTTTAAATTCACTTTCAGATTGCCAAACACCCTCTTATAGAAGAGAGAAAATTGAGAGTAATTTTTAGAGTAAAATTTGGATTGTGAGTATTTGTGAGAGTGTTTATAAATTTTCTCCCCTTAATGAAAGATTTGCAGTAGCCCGTGGACGTAGACAATTTTGTACCGAACTACGTTAAATTTGCGTGTCTTATTATTCCGTATTTATTTCGTTTTCTCGTAAATCTGGTTATAGGGGAATTTGCGTAATTTCCCAACAATTAAAACCTATAAAGATGCCAATAATAATTGTAATAATATTTGCATTGAGATTCTTAAGGTCAGATGTCACATGAGGGATTAGGAGCTTTACAATATTACTTAATTTCCTACTAGTCAAACTGCACGTGCATAATGCACTGATTGGAAATATTGAAATTAAACCATGTAGTCTCAAGCAAATCAACTTAAAAATATTCAAGAATAAACTAAGAGATGTACTTTGCAAAAGTTTTCATGAGTTATTAGATTTGAATGCTGAATTTATCCTTAATTTCCATAAAAAATTTCCATAAATCCACAAAAATGCTCACATATTGCTACAACAACACATAGAGAGTAAGGGGGAAAAAGATTTATACCTCCAAAACATAAACACTCTACATTCTCTAAGATCAATTCACCTTGTAACATTTCTCAAACTACGAATATATTTCAAAAGAATGTAAAGTGAAAAAAAGCACTTACACCCAACTTTAGTTTTTCCTTGCACCAATTATTTGTCAAGATATAAAGATACAAATACAAATAATAACACCTCCGTTGAAGAGTTAAAGTAAAAAACATAGCCAACGAAATGATACATTAATCAAGCATTAACAAGAGACTTGTTGAGGATCATGTCATCAGTAGAGAAGTCTGCTGCCTTTCTGAAAGTTCCTCTGCCAAAATCTAAGTTGTACGAGTCGGCGAGGCCACTGATCAAGTCAAATTCTGGCTCCCAATCAAGTTCCCTTGTTGCTTTCTCAATTGAAGCAAAGAAATGCTGCAGAAATTTGTTGCAGTTAGTACATAAATTTCAATGGTTCCTGGAATTTCTGAGGTACTAAAGATTTCTAAAGACAGATACAGGATAACTAGTACTTGCAAGGAGATATTTTCCGAGCATGAATACTCCACAAACTAGAGAATACTATCAACAACTTTTCCACTAAAATATAATGACTGATGGCAGTTAGTTTAAGTTGTCACACGTATTTCGCACGTGATATGGTTTGGACAATTTTGCCCCTAGGTGCTTAATACATGTGCTGCATTACTCTCTTCACCTCTTCTATTTTCAAGAGAAGATTTGACTTTTTGCCTTCCTTGTTAACATCATTAGTGACAATTTCCAATAGTTCGGGTTATTATTCTGACATTCCGAAAGTTTATGGTAGTTCACGGTAATTTTGTGAAGTTTACCCTTTACAGTTTCTACATAATTATTGAAATTTTGCAATCTTTTAAATGATTATTATGTGTATACTCTTTTCACCTTGATAGTTATAGGGAAATCACATTCCACCCCTTATGGAGGAAATTCTTCTTTGTTGGTTTGGAATGAGGGAAGGTGAGGGGAGGGGATAGACAAAAATTAAGATTTACATTTGGTAAGAGGTCTTTAAAGTGGGGAGGTAGAGTGAGGGGAGGGGAGGGGAGGGAGAGAACACCACGAAATAAGTTAAAAAGTTAGAGAGAGAAGAATCCGTCCAAATTGGGAGGACATGAGGAGAGAGAAAATGAGCTACAAAAGCATGCATCTCTCCTCCCCTCCAATCATACACAAAGGCTTAAAGGGATATCCATCCCTCCACTTCATTGCACCTCCCCTCACCTCAACTTGCCTCCTCAATCGCCCTACCAGACCAATAGGGTTATGATTCTTATACCCGTGATGCTCTAATTGACGTCAGGAACAATTTTACATAAAACCTTATTAGACCCATGTGTTATCTAAATCACAACCAAAAAAATTGCTATTTTTCTGTACATATAATGAGATTTAGCACATATTTGAACTTCTATGAAACAAATTATATAACCTTTGTATCTGTGATGCATATTTGTTATAGGGTGTATTGATCTCACCATCTTTATCGACTGCTCTGCATTCCATGATCATATTGAATACTTCCTGATTTATTGGTACAAAGGGTAAAAACTTACCTGATCTCTGAAAGGAAAAGCTTTTTTCTTCCCGAAATCAAATTCTTTGGGATTATAATGAACGATCTCTGGTTCAGGAAATCCACCAGCCTGAAAGAACATTGTAAAGATACATATCCTAACAATGTTAACTGCTCCAGTACTATATGAATGTGCCCCAGCACTATAATAATGTGTATTTTAAATTTAAATTAATTATAAGATGTACCTTAGCACAAGCTTTTGCTAACCCATCAAAGGTGACATATTTTGATCCAGAGATGTTGAACACTTGCTTGCTTGCTTTTGGATTGCCAAGAACCTTAATGAAAGCCTTAGCCAAATCCTGACACAAATAATTTACTTATATTATGAACACAAAGTGTTACAACTATATAGTAATTGCGTGGGCTGACTTCTGGACACAACAGCAAAGAAAATGTGAAATGACCCTTTTATTAGGACATATGCTCTATGAAGTATAGCTATTTCAGATATATGCTCTCACATGAGAAATAATAGATAGACGAGTACCTAAAGTAAAACTAAATTGTTGCATTCTAATAGGTGATGAACATATGCTTTCACATTAAGAATGCACATAGAATTTGAAGGATTTATGTGTAACACTAGCTAGAGAGTGTACAATAGAAAGGAAACTTAAAGTTTTTGCCGATAAAAGTAAATGTATTGAAAATGGTCAAAGTTTTGAAGTTCTCATCCAATCGGTAGGACCGGAAAATATGTCTTTGATGTGAAATTAGGAAATTCAAATGTGAAATTAGGAAATTAATTTATAAGGGCGTAGGTGGAGGTTGCTACTACCCAAATAGTATTCTTATATTGGTACTAAAGAAAGAGACCTATAGCCTATAGGTTCTAGTGTTTCTCTTCACTAGATCATTACCATTCACATTTTAGTTCACAAAAGATTTGGAGGCAAGGTTTACATACCAAGCACAAGAAATTCACATTTATATTTAATTGTCACGATTATTAATGAGATAAATGAGAGAGAATCGACTGAATTGGTTTAGTCATTTGCAACAGAGGCCTCTAAATTAACCAGTTAGGAGGATTCATAAAATTACTATTAATGGAGCGAGGAGGACTAGACGGAGAACTACTAGAGTTTGACTGAAAACAATTGGGAAGGATATGCTAATGATTTAACTCAAAGGATGAGATATTCCTGAACAGAACCCAACAATTTGGGATAAAGGTTTTATTGTTGCTACTTGTTATGATTCTTAATATATCACCACGAATAATTATGTAGTATATGCTACATACTAACCTTAACATGTCCAAGTTGGGTGATTTGATTTCCAGAGTTGGGGACTGGAATTGGACGGCCAGCTTTCAACCGATGAAAGAACCACTCTTCGACTGGGTTATAGTTCAAGGGACCATATATATACACTGGCCTTATTGAAGTCCAATTCACGCCCTTTGAGCTCAACAAGCTTTCTGTCTCGAGCTTTCCTTTGTGTCTGCTCTTTGGATCAACTGCATCGGTCTAAAAAATAATACACAAAAAAGGGAGGGGTTGGGGGGTTGGGGGGTTGGGAGGAATTAGAAATAAGAGTAAAAATTATACAGGAATGGTATAAATGATAGCCCTACCTCAAAGTGAGGCAACAAGTCAGATTTGAGATACACTCCAGCTGATGAGCAGTATATATACCTGTAAGGTATCAATTAGTATCACGCCAGGATAGTAAACAAAGAGTAGCGAAGTAATGATTATTCCTTGCAAAGGAATAAGATTGTTATTATTTTCTGGTATGCAGGTATTCATATATGGCAGAGTATTCATATATGGCAGAAAACAGTACAACAAAAGTTAAAAATTTACGAGGAAGATATTTGAAACAAAGAAATCAAGGACAGATATTGTTGGCAGGGGCTCCTGGATACTTTAAACTATCAGATCGTCAAATAGAAATAACATAATTGCAGCAGTGAAAGCTTATTTGTACAATTAAATTTATGTTAAATAGTCCTGAATTTAACCAATATTAGATTTGTTTACTGTTCTAATGAGGAGAGAAGAACATACTGTTCTAGCTTTGGCAATGCATCCAGTATAGGTTCTACCTCAACAGCTTCACGCCCTGGACAAAAAAATTGTATTGCAAATATAATCTTCAATCACGTGCGTATAGTCTATGCCCAAGAGTCAGCTATAATGATGTTCTTTTCCCAGCGAGCACTAACCATTTATGTCGTAAACAACGTCGTAGCCCTCTGCAGAAAGGCTTTTCTTCACAAACTCGAAATCCTGCCTATCCCCTTTCAAATGCAATACCTAAAAATAGAGAGCAAGTAGATGCAGTTGACATCAAAGTGTATCATTATGGAAAAGATACTATAACTGGACCCAGATACTAGTTTCGAACATGACAACTTTTCTCCCTTTCTGTCGATAACCACTTATATGACCAATTTATATTTCATTCTTTCTTACAGTTCCGCATGACTATAGTCAGCTAAAATTTTTGCATCCAGCTAACATTGCTACCGACCTGCCTCTAAATAGTTAAAAATAAATAAAAATGAAGAAATCATACTTTGGATGAGAATTCTGAGTATTCTGCATCTGATTCTCCTGGCAATTGTTGAGTAATAGGCGCCTTCCCTCTGGTAAACAATGTCACCTGCAAATTCCGAAGGCCGCAATCATTAAAACAGATTCTATCAACTACAATTACCTAAGCATAGATTTCATTGTATCATGAAGTTACAAACCTGGTGGCCTTCTTGAACAAGGAGTCTGCTTAAGAACACACCGATGAATCTCGTTCCACCCATCACTAGTATCTTCTTGGCACTCGATGCTGAGACCTGAAATCCTCCCTTTTGCTGCCACGCTTTTCTTCTACCCTATTGAATTGAGACCTAAAGTTATAAACAAACCCATATAACTTCAACTTCAATTACAGATCAAGAAGAATACCTGGAAGGAGATATTGAACCCGGTGCCATTGAACTCAGAGAGTGAGGAAGGGAGGAGTGAAGATTTGGAGGAGATCCAGGGACCCTGAAGAGATGGCTGGCTTTGTTGCAATACCACAAGCCTAGCCATTTTTTCTCACTTCCTCTTCTAACTGTTGCTTTTGGTTTGAGCTACGTTTTTGAATTTTGGGTGGTTGGTTCTTTTTGAAAGGATCAAGTGATGAGGTTTGCATGGCCCTTTTCATGGAAAAAAGCCCATCCTCTCATCTCCTCTCCTTTCCACGTTTTGGGTAAAAGATAAGACAAACTCCACTTTGATTATATCCACAACCTCTCAATCTCCATCCTCACAGTTTAGGTATATAATTTGTTTAGAGAGAGAAATTTACATAGAAACCCTCCACACAACCACAACCTCCGAAACATTAACGGTCTTGAAATAAAATTCGAATTCATACATGTTTTCAGAAGGAACTCTCACATAAAATAATTTGGATTCCGAGCTTAGACAAGTTTAACTCTGAGCGTATGCATATTTCTTCAGTAAATCATCCATGGTACATGTCAGCAATCACAAATGTAAGATTTTAATCAGTATTTTCCTGCTATAATTCAGAAACCTCGGTCATATCTTCTCAGGATCCCTACCATACAAAAACAATAAAGATAACCACAGAAATCAGAAGACCGGGAAGGTCACCACCAAAGAAAGAAAAAACAAAAACAAAAACAAAAAACCTCATATCTCATACAATACTATTCAAGTTTACAATCTTGATGAGCAACAAGGATATCAGCGCAAATACAAGCCATAACATGACTGCCTCTAGTTCAAAAGCAAAGAAGGGAGGCACAGTTTCAAATGATTACATTCACAAAAAGAAATCAGCCATTCATATATCAACCAGCATAAAATTTTCCTTGTAATGTTTTCCATTTCCCCACTTGCCATTTACACGATCAGCGTTGAAACTGTATAGAATATGAGCCCGTAGTTGGATCCTTGACAGCCTTGAAGTTGTCGACACTCATCCCAAACCGCCCCAGAACAGAGTTCCCCATCTCTTTCAACTTCCCTGCACCAAGTCGAGAGCATTACTTACTTTTGAAAGTACTATCTATTTTTTCCACCTGGTTTATAAAGGATGAAACAGAAAGATAAAGTTCCAAATTGTTTGGAAAGCAGTTTGAAGATGTAGATTGCTTTAAAACTTGTCTTAAAAATAGACCAAATTTCACCAAAGTACCATGTACTTCACTTCCTGCGTACGACCATGTGATTAGGTGTGTACATGTATGTGGCTTTGTTTTAAATGAAGGGGGAAAAGTGATCCTACAACCGCCATTAACACCAGGGAATTCAATTTAAGTTGGAGGAACAGAGGAAATTGAGAAGGTTTAACAAGATAAAAACTAGTGATAAATAGGTCACAGGATCCAGGTATGCCATGACCGACATAATCAGAGGAAGGGTGGAAGAACACCTTATATTAAAAAACAACTAGGAATGAGTCAATAGTAGCATACATTAATTACAGGAGTTTAGTATGGTGATCCAGTTAGGTAGTTTAGTAATTTCAATTAATGGATGGTTAGTGTAAAAATAGAGAATGCTCATTGAAATGTTGAGAATTTTAGCACGAAACTAAGGCATTTAAGTTTTTTAATTAGAGAGACCTCCATACTTGAAGAGTCAACGAAGGAGTGCAACAAGAGATCACATATTTAAGTTCTTACGTTCAGAACATATAGCTCAATGACCTTTTTGAAATGGCACAGCAGCAAGGACTGTGAATCGTGGATTAGGTAGGAGGAGAGAGGGCTTGGTCGAGGAGAAAAGAGATGAAGATCATGATGTTGTCGACTATCTGAGGAGATTGGGGTAAAGAAGGGGCAGGGATCTATAGAGAGAAAAGAAGAGGACAGAGAGCGAATTTGTGGCTTTTGTTTATATAAATAAAGTGTTTCCATCAGTAATAATTCTATAATAACTTTTGCCTGCCTTGTTGATTTGTCAAGCTTGAAAATCTAAAAGATAACTATTATACCACATTTTTTGTTCCATAATGCAGTCCCATTTTAAAAAGAATTTTTCACTTTATACAGGTTCTCAATAGATGTAAAATCATTTTCATTAATTCATCACATATGTTATCGGTTTTATTGTAACAAAATTAAAGTTAAACAATAGCACCTACAAATTGCAAGCACAAATCATCTAAATTAGCGTATTGAATAGAAGGCATAAAAGTGCAAAAACATTATACTAGAACATATAGGTTAAAAATTAGAATTGGGAAAGAACTAATTCTCTGAGCATAACATACCAATCATCTCTTCCTTCATCTTTTCACGCTTTTCTTCAGCCAATGGCTCTAAACGTCGTATGGCTCTTCTTGCTTGGTCATTTGAAGGATCCAGCTCAGTGACCTTCTTCATATCTGCAACAACATGCATGGAAGTACAAGTCACAAGAGCACTCAAGCTTATCAAAATAACTGAAAATGATTAAAGATGAAAACATCATTAAAAAAGGGGAAAAAACATAAACAATAATGTATAAATGCATGCATATGACCATAGATATCCATACATACCAGCAATAGCCTCTTCAAGGTGATCGAGTTTCTCATGTGCCTCTGCTCTTCTAAGTAAAGCTTTTGTATATGTAGGATTTAGCTCTAGTGCTTTGGTGCATTCTTTAATACTGTCTTCATATTTTCCCTAGAAAAATTAGAATGCATGTGAGAAAAAGCATATGTGGAAACTAGACATCAAGAAAGGACCAGACCAAGGCTTGTTCTATAACTGGGTTTCAAAAGCTAGCATTTAAATAGTTATTGGAATTTTGAAACATAGAGGCCATGATAAAAAACTAATGCTCCACAATTTTAAGTTTGTGAGGACCACTTGAGTCTTGCATTTCTAGTAGAAACATAATCCAAAATACTGGACTGATACTATTAGAAGGAAGAACAAATCTATGACACACTACTTAGGCTTACCTGCACTTAAATACCCCAAAGTTTACATTATTTTTTATTTTGACACCCCAAAGCTTGTTTTTCCCCAACAGTTACCCCAAAGCTAAAACAATTTAGCTATGATACCCTAAAATGACTCAATAAGGGTTACAAAAGTTAAATTTGTTTGAACTTTAGGGTATTTTTAGGTATTTTTGTTTTGGGTATTCAAGTGAAACTGATCCCACTTATTATTATAACCTTGTCTTATGATTCATAACTTAGGGCCTGTTTGTTTTGCTAAAAGATGGTGAGAAATGGGCTCATGTGGAAATTGGGCCTTTGCCACATCAGTTTTGGAGTTAGGCCATTTCAATTTAGACAGTTTGGTTGGGATAGGTGTTTGGAGAAATTTGCTGTTGAAAACCCTCGCCACATCCGCAATTTCCCTCATCTCATTTCCTCCGCCCTAACTCTGAAATCGGGTGTAGAAATTGGGGTGGAACTTTTGTGGGGGAAATCGTTGAAATTTCGGAGCCCTAAAATCGCTGCCTCCCCCTATCTTCTCTGTTCTCGTTTTCCTTCCTGCCTCTCTCGTCGATTTTCTTCTCTTCCCGCCTTTGTTGATGAAAAGGTCTTTAGGTCTGAGATTTGCTGGTTTTTTCTCACGACGTCGTTGTTGATTTTTGTGAGATCAAACTAAGTTGGGGTTTCCTTGCTCTACCCTCTCGGTAAATAGTTAGTTTTCTTGAGATCTAGTATTAATTGCTCGCTCTGCAGCGTTCTCATCCCCTTCGGTGTTGTTGCTTCCAAATCAAAGGTAAACATTGCAATTTTTCTAATTTTTTATTTTCATTGATATTTAGTTGAATTTTTTTGGCATAATGATTGAATTGTTGGTTGGATGATTAATAGGGATGAGGGATCTGTTGGTTGGTAGGTTGAATTATTTTGGAGATTTTGCCGCAATTTTTTTTCATCTGTGATGGTTGTTGATTGTCGATGTTTGAGACAAAGTCATCTACTATGAAATATATACAAATTTAAGCTGAAATAAACAGGAAAAGCTAATGTTCATGGCACCCATGACTTCTAACCCAAAGTGTTGTTTGGACTTAGACCTAAATTTGGTACTGCTCTTGATTTATGGTTGTGTCATGCATGTAAAATTTGACCAAATTTGGACAATGGTCTATTCGTTAGTTTATGTTTTTACTAAGAAATTCTACCAAGACCTTATTACAAACATAAAAGATTCAATCAAGAGTGGCAATCATTAATCTTGAAAGGAGAAATCCATGTTGTCAGTTAGTAATAAAGAATTAGAAAGATTAAATATCAAAATCTTTGACTTAATTACGTGCTTATGATGTATCAACTGTTTACATCAACTAATTAACATTTTAGTAGTATTTGTACTCCAAATCATGTTAAAGATGTGGTGATAGCATTAAAGAGTAATATATTATTTTTCTCTCTTTTTTTGTCTATGATGGTAACATCCAAATTCCTCTCTTAAAATTTTTTACAATATTCATGTTGTTTGACATCTATAAGCTTGATGCTATTTAAAATATTGTATAGCTCAAGTTGTTGTTTGAGACTATTTGTTTTTTGATATTGTAAATGGTCGTATGATTTATATAGTTGATAACTGTGTGTGTAACGTAGTTGTGGGTATTATAGACGGATGGTGACAGAGTTGATGAGGAAACAGTTATGACAATGGTCTCAGGGGCTGCATTCAACGTGATGTTCATAGTATTTACTTTTTTAAGGAGAATGCAAAGTAGACGTAGAAGTATACGTAGGAGTCCTAGTGAAGAAAAAATAAAGCAAAACGAGCAAAGAATTGAATACTTAAACTATATCTATATTGATTTTAGTGACAACTATCAAAACTATGTTAGAATGCGAGTGGTGCTTTTATAAAGCTTGTGAAGATCATGAGAAAAATTTTTATTAAAGGACTCTCGGCATGTTACAATAGAGGAGCAACTTACTATGACTTTGAATATTTTAGGACATGAATCAGGTTGATGTTGGTTTTTGCCCTCGAGTTGATGTTATTCATGTTTATGTCGGTTTTTAGGCTAAATTATAGCCATTTAGCGGCTGTTACAATCAGATTGATGTTGGCTTTTACCCTCGAATTGGTGCTATTCGTGATTATGTTGGTTTTTGGCTATATTATTTTGAGGCTTTTACAATCAGGTTGATGTTGGTTTTTGGCCTCGAGCTGATGTTATTTAGGTTTATGTGGGTTTTGGGCTAAATTATAGCCATTTTGCTGCTGTAATAATGAGTTGATGTTGGTTTTTGTCCTCGAGCTGATGTTATTCATGTTTATGTCAGTTTTTAGGCTACATTATAGCCATTTAGCGGCTGTTACAATCAGATTGATGTTGGTTTTTGCCCTCGAGCTGGTGCTATTCATGCTTATCTTGGTTTTTGGGCTAAATTATAGCCATTTTGCGGCTTTTACAATGAGGTTGATGTTGGTTTTTGGCATCGAGCAGATGTTATTCATGTTTATGTGGGGTTTTGGCTAAATTATAGCCATTTTGCGACTATTACAATGAGATTGATGTTGGTTTTTGGTCTCGAGCAGGTGTTATTCATATTATTCATTTTGTTATTCATGTTGATGTTGCTATTACAATCAGGTTGATGTTATTCATGTATGTCTTCTGTTGGGGTGAACTTACCATGGTGAGCACAATCTACATTTTCATCATGTTTCATCTCCAACCAAACAAAGGTAATCTTGGAAATTGACTTTTTGTTTTCTTTTCAAGTTTTAACTCCCCAACCAATCATAGGAAATTGAGGAAATATAGGGGGCATATTTCAACACCCGTGTTTTCTATGTGAAACAAACAAAAAGCAACTATTTTGAGGAAATCCAACGAAATACAAGGAAATCACATTTCCATGATGCTTTCATTTTCAATTTTTGAAGGTTGGCGAAACAAACAGGCCCTTAGAGTGCTTCGCATATCTTTTGTTCCTTATTTTACGGTTCTTTCTATCGAAGTAAACAAAATATTTGAACTGTTCAAGTTTATGCACATTCATTAAAGTCTTCAATCACACGCAACAACAACAATTACTCAAAAAAATTTAAGCTTAAATAATATAAAAGACCAGTACCAATTTCAAGAAGCAAGCTCCACGATTCGCATGACAAATAGCCTGAACCTCCTCAGACGAAGGAACCTCAGCAGCAATCTGCAAAGCGTGCTCGTACTTCAACAGAGCCTCCTCGTACTTCGCAGCCCCAAACAACTTGTTACCTTCTAACTTCGATTCATTCGCTTGATTCAAAGTCCTCTGCTTTAAAATACGCACAAAAAGAGAAATTTTTAACAAAATATGAGAAAACTATTAGGGTTTCATTGATCGAGTGGTGACAGATCGGACCTCGTCTAGTTGATCTTGGGTTAGGGCGTCTTCAAAGGGATCGTCCTCGCCGGCTGCTCCTTGATCCGGTGTCGATTTCGTTGAGGGTTCTTGTTTTGATTCGGTTAGGATCTCCTTGGGCTCTGATTCTTGCTCGATCACCACCATTTTTGATCGCACCAAGGAACAAAAATGAAGAGAAATTGAGGATTTTGGTTGATTGAAGGTTATACATGGTTTTTGAGAGAGAGGGAGGCTTCGAGAGACAGAAAAGAATTCGGGTCGGATCCACCAATGATCTATTCGATTCGGATCAGACCCATGAGACTACACCCGAAGCCAGCATTTTATTTTATTTTTCCCTTATCTCTCGTTTTAATTTTTTAGGGTTAATTGTCCTCTAATAACCTGAGTTTGTATGGTCTTTAAACTTTTACACCAAAAAGTTCTCTTCTCAAAAGCTTTTTGAGACTATTATAGCTTTCTCAACAAAAAACAAAAATACTCTCTCACGGAGGATTCATCTAAACATGTGAGAAGTCAACTTATACGTGACCTTTCAAATAATTAGAAATATAATAAAGTATTTATTTACGCATTACTAACATTGAAGATGTTTTAGAATCTTCCCAATGTGTTTGGTTTGAGTATAGGTCCAATAATTATGGAACCACGATATTGTTAAAAGAGTCGAACCAAATTTTTTCCATAAAAAAATATTGTTCTCTATTCCAACAATCTATATATATTGTTGTTGTCTTCACGATCTCATCCAAATTATTTTATTTGGATCGTAACGTCTCAAAGACACGCAACATCTATCAAATTTGTTATAACAAGCGTAACACTCAATTAATACGTGAGAATGAGATGGAATGTAATGCTCATTCTAACTTTTTATTCGTGGGTACCAACATAATAAAAATTTTAGAAGCTAGATACTCATTTCCAAAGGATGACCTGTGAAAATGAACATTCCCAATAAAAGTTTTAATGAGTATTTCCACTGGAGTGAAAATAAAAAAAGTAAAAAAAAAAACTTTACGTGACGTGGAAATGATTATTGAGATAAAAGTTCCGATCAATAAAGAGGCGGACCCGGCCCATTAAAAACTACCGAGCCCAAATTCACAAACAACCTTCAGCATCCTCTTCCCTCCGACTCCGAGCTCTCTAACGGCGATGGCCATCCCTCTTCAACTCTCTATATTCAGATCATCTCCTCCTTCATCCTCATCACAACCTCTGCAGAGGCTGACTCCAGCAGCAGCGGTCGCCATCAACAACGCTCAGACTCGAGAGCGGCTGAAGTTGAAGGATCTTTTCAGAGAAGCGCGAGAGAGGTGCGTTAGAGATCCCATGGACGGCGTCGAGTTCACCCTCGACGAATTCCATAGGGCCCTCGATGATCGAGACTTTGGAATCGAGGTCGGGTGCAAGGTCAGTACACACTTTGGTGAATCTAGGGTTTCTAGTTTAAGATAGTTTAGGGGCTGTTTGGTTGACTGGAAATAGAGCTGCAGTTGCAAATTATGCAGTAAAATTGTTATTTTTAGCAACAAGATGGTCGGGAAATAGCTGCAAGACATTTATAATGACACTTCATCAAGTTAGGTGAACTTAATGTAGATCAATTTACAATTGCGTCTGAAAAATCACTTGATATGCAATGAAAATAAATTTCCTGCAACAAAAAATTACAAATCCAACAACTACTGCAACTAATCAAACGTTGAATTTGGATTTGGTTCTTCCATAATAAAATTTCAAATAACCAATAGAAAGATTAGTGTTGAAAAAAATTGTGGGTAATGCCAAAAAAATCACAGTTATTGAAGTACAAATAATTAATCAACATTAGGTTGAAACAAAGAAAAATCTACAAAAAATCGTGGGTTATACTTCAAGAATATCATGATTTTTTAAGCACATATAAATACTTGCCACTCGGACAAAACAAACAAAAATTACCAAATTGTTGGTTATGACTCATCCAAATCAAGGTTACAGAAAGCGCTAGGCGGCCTATGCGTTGAACCCGACTTCTAGAACCTAGGTGGGGCCTAGACGGTTTTTCTATGTTTAATTTTTTAATTACAATAATTGATAGTATGCTAATGTTATATAAAGCACAGGAGCCGAACTGGTGTCTAGGCTGCTTTCTTTCTTTTGTTTAAATGATGGTAAGGAGGTTTTGTTGAAGGTTTGTGGAGGCAGAGGAGGTGTTCATAGTTGGAGACTAGAAATCATGATTATGATCTAATGGTACAGTCCACATAACCAGCTTACACTCCTCTAGATACTCCCAAAACCTAGGTGGCAGCCTAGGTAGCCTAGGCGCTAGGCGGCCAGCCTAAGTACCACCTAAGCGGGCTAGGTAGATGCTTTTTAAAACATTGATCCAAATCATGAATTCAAAGTAGTTATAATTAATTGTCGACCCGAATGAATGACAATGGTAAAAAATAATGGATTTCAACCTGTGAAAATTGTGAATATTGAAGCTTGCACAGTTAATTGATATGTGGTCAAAACGAACAAAAAATTGTCAAAAATCATGGACTATAGCTTATGAAAATCACGAATTTTGAAGTATTTATATTTACTTGTTATTTCGTCAAAAATAAAAATTGATAAAAATCGTGGGTTATAACTTATGAACATCGCAATTTTGGAAGTATGTATTGTTACTTCTCATTAGGAGTAAACGAACAAAAAATGCCAAAGTCGTGAGTTATAACCCATCAACATCTCGAATTTTGAAGTAGTCATAAATAATTACCAATTGCTTTGAATAAACGATAATGGACAAAAATCGTGGGCTAGCCTTCGAAAATCACAACTATTGAAGTTTGCGCAGTAAATTTCTATTAGGTCAAAATGGAAAAAAATCATGGGCTAGCCTATGAAAATCACATATTTTGAAGTAGGCACGTTTATTTGTCAATAGGTCAAAGATTGAAAATTGGCAAAAACCGTGGATTATAGCTCTTGAAAATAGCAAATCTTAAAGTATGTATTTATTACTTGTCATTGGAATAAAAGGAACAAAAACTGCCAAAATCGTGGGTTATAACCCATTGAAATCGCAAATTTTGAAGTAGTCATAATTAATTATCATTGGGTCAAATGAATATTAATGAACAAAAACCGTGGTTTACAGCCCATTAACATCGCAAAAATTGAAGTTCACACAATTAATTGCTTTCGGGTCGAAACAAACAAAAAAGGACAAAAGTCAACTATAAAAATTACAAAACTTTTAAGTACATGTACTTTCCATTTAGTTAAAAAAAAATTTGCCAAAAAAATCATGGTTTATAAAAAAAGGACAAAAGTTAGCTATAAAAGTCACAAAAAATTTGAAGTATGCACACTTACTTTCCATTTAGTTGAAAAAAATTTGCCGAAAATCATGGTTTATAAATTATGAAAATTACAAATTTTCAAGTATGCATTAGTACTTGTCGTTGGGACGAAACGAGCTAAAATTGTCAAAATTATAGGTTATAATAACCCATCACAATTGAAAATTTTGTAGTCATAACTAATTGTTGTTGGATCAAATGAATGATAATGGACAAAATTTGTGGGTTATAACCCATTATAATAGCAAATATTGAAATCCGCACAATTAATTGCTATGGGATCAAAAGGAACAAATATGGACAAAAATCATGGATTATATAGCCCATTAAAGTCACAAATTGAAGTACACATATTAGTTGCTATTTGGTCAAAAAACAATCATCGACAAAAAATCTTGGGTATATCTCCTGAAAATCGCGAATTTTGAAGTACGTGTTATTATTTTCATTAGAACAAAATGAACAAAACTTACCAAAATCGTGGGTTATAACCCATCAAAATCAGGGTTTGAAGTAGTCATAATTAATTGTCGTTCAGTTGAATGAATGATAATGAATAAATCGTAGGTTATGGGCCTTATGGTCCATGAAAATCGCGAAAATTGAACTTCACACAACTAGTTGCTTTTGGGTTGAAACAAATAAAAATGGACAAAAGTTATGAACTATATGCTATGAAAATCCTAAATTTTGAAGTATGCATACTTATTTCCCAATTAGTTGAATAAAAAATTGAAAAAATCATGCTTTATAAATCATGAAAGTCGCGGATTTTGAAGTACATGTTATAACTTGCTGTTGGGATGAAAAGAACTAAAACTGTGAACATTACAAGTTACAATAACATATCATAGAAAAAATTTTAAAGTAGTTATAATTAATTGTTATTGGGTCGAGTGGATGATAATGGACAAAATCCATGGGTTTCATTAAAATTGTGAATATTAAGGTCCGCACAATTAATTGCCATGGCATTCGAAATGAACAAATATGGACAAAAATCATGTACTATATAGCCCATTAAAATTGCAAAATTTCAAGCACACATTTATGTCATTTTGTTAAAAAACGAACATCGACAAAAATCGTAGGTTGTAGCGGATGAAAATCGTGAATATTGAATATGTATTATTACTTTCATTGGGATGCAATGAATAAAAATTACCAATATCGTAGGCTATAACCCCTCAAATTTCGGGCTTGAAGCAGTCATTATTAATTGGAATTGGGTCAAATGAATAGTAGTGGACAAAATTTGTGGGTTAGCCCATGAAAATCGTAAAAATCAAAGTTTGCACAATTAATTAATTTTGGTTCGAAACAAACAAAAATGGACAAAATTCATGGACCATATAGGCCATGAAAATCACAAATTTTGAGTACGCATACTTATTTTTTCATTTCGTTAAAAAATAAAATTGACAAAAATCATGGTTTATAGATCATGAAAATCACGAATATTGAAGCGCATATTATCACAGTTGTTGGGATGGAACAAACTAAGATTGTCAAAATTAATGGTTATAATAACCTATCAAAATTGAAAATTTAGAAGTAGTCATAATGAATTTTTCATTTGGTCGAGTGAATGATAATGGACAAAGTCTATGGATTATAGCCCATTAAAATTGTGAATATTGAAGTCCGCACAATCTATTGCCATGGGTCGTAATGAACAAAAATGGACAAAAATAGTGGACTATAGCCCATTAAAATCATAAATTTTGAAGCACACTTCTTTGCTATTTGGTCAAAAGATAAACATTGATAAAAATTATGGTTTATAGCTCATGAAAATCGTAAATATTAAAGTATTATTATTATTTCTATTGGGACGAAAAGAGTAAAAATTGCCAAAATCGTGGGTTATTTAACCCATCATGATTAGGGTTTGAAGTAGTTATAATTAATTGCAATTGACTCCAATGAACAATATTGGACAAAAATAGCCCAAGAAAATCGTGAAAACTAAAAGTTCACACAATTAAGTGCTTTTGGGTCGAAATGAACAAAAATAGACAAAAGACATGGACTATAGGCTATGAAAATCACAAATTTTGAAGTGGCATACTTATTTTATGTTTAGTTGAAAAATGGAAATTTTACAAAAAATATGGTTTATAGATCATGAAAATCTCAAATTTTAAAATACATGGAATATTAAAATTGCTAAATTTTGAAGTGCTTTCATTGGGTCGAAATGAATAAAAATTGCCAAAATTATGGGTTATAACCCATTAAAATTGGCATTTGGAGTAATAATAAATTGTCATTGTGTCGAATGAATGATAATGTACAAAATCAATGGGTTATGGCCCATGAAAATCGTGAAAATAGGAGTATGTACAATTAAATGCTTTTGGATCGAAACAAAAAAAAAGTGACAGAAGTCATGGATTATAGGCTATGGAAAATAACAAAATTTATCAAAATAATAGTTTATAGATCATGGAAATCGTGAATTTTAAAATACGTATTATTAGTAATCGTTAGGATTAAATGAACTAAAATTGTCAAAATTGTAGGTTATAATAGTATATGAAAATCTAAAATTTTTGAAGCAGTCATAATTATTTGTTATTTGATCTAGTGAATGATAAAGGACAAAATTTGTGGGTTATAGCCCATTAAAATTGTAAAAATTTAAGTATGCACAAAGAATTTCTTTAGAATTCAAAATGAATAAATATGGACAAATATCATGGACTATAGCCAATTAAAATCATGAATTCTGAAATACATAGACGAAATAAGTAAAAATTATGTAACCCTTCAAAATTGGGGTTTGAAGTAGTAATACTTAATTGTCAATGGGTGGAATAAATGATAATTGACGAAATTCAATTGTTATGACCCTTGAAAATCTCGAAAATTGAAGTTCGCACAATTAATTGCTTTTGGTTGAAACAAACAAAATATGGACAAAAGTCATGGACTGTGAGCCATGAAAATCACAAATTTTGAATTGCACATATTTAGTTTCCATTTAATTGAAAAACAAACAATTGACAAAATTATGGTTTATAGCATGAAAATCATGAATTTGAAGCACATGTTATTTCGTGTTGTTAG